TGTTCCTCTGTGTTAAGGTTTGTTTCTCAAAGTTTAATAAGAGTGGTATAACATTAATCATTTTATATTGAAAACCTACTCCATAACATCTCTGGCTTAACAATAAAATGTACAAATTATTAAATTAACACAAGATGGGAACTTAAGACTTTTGACTTTCTTTTTCATCACTTAGTTCTTCACAGACTAAAAATTAATTGCACGTTTAAAAAAAAATTTTGTAAAACCAACATTTTTTATTCCCATGTTGTGTAGTAAAATGGTCGGCTAATGATATTTTATCGTATAAATTACAATTTCAATCAATTTTTATTATTTCATAGCTGGCAAATTATTTGCATGATTATTTGCAGATTATTACGAAATAATGGTGTGTCGATATGATAAAAACCACGTCATCAATAATCGGATTTATTTAAACCATATATTTCGGTGCAGAAAGAAGGGTCTGCAGTCTGGAGAAAGTTAGATGTCCATTTAATAGTAATCATATAGTAAACGACCCAGAGAGCGAAGTAACCAAAAATAAAATATGGTTTTTGTTGGTTATTAATGTATATATTATATAAATTTTATTTAGTACCATATTAAAACCTGGTATGACAGGCCAACTAATTCGTATAGATATCAAGAGCCTGAAACTACTTTTGGTCATCCTCCACCTGAATTTAAACCAATATCATCTGATAAAATATGGGACTAAGTTTGAAATTTGGGAAGGTTACAAGCATTCAAAAAGGAAGAAAAGCTTTAATAATTACTATTTTTTATTAATATGTATAAGGTAGAGTAATAAGTAAAAGTGGTTTTTAAAAATAAATATTTTGTGCAAATACATGCACGAAGTAATAATTAATTTTTTCGATCATATACTATAAATATATTTTAGGTCTAACATAATCTGTATTAACTTAAGCTTATAAATGTAAAGTAACAATTTAATTTTAAATATAAATATTAAAAGTTTTAATATTAAAGTCAAATATGCAACAAATACAAAGTCAAGTCAGTTACGTTAAATGAATGATTAAAGCAGTTCCATTGAAAATATTTAATTTTTCTTTCATATTATTTTAGAACTGATTAAACTTAAGTATTATATGTAATTAAAACAATTACTAAATAAAAAAATTTTTTAAATAAATATTTTTTTTTAAACAAAATTTATAACGATGAAGGTGCATTAGTTTGTCCTTAATTTAATGTCATAAGCCTCAGTATTTATTTGCATCAACAATTAATTATAAACGTTTTTACTACAACAAAATTGTATTTCAAGATATTAATGTCTTATTTGTGTTAACTTAATTCCACGATTTCTGTCAAATATATCAAATATTTATAATAAAACATCTTAAACTTAGACTTAAATAGACTTATCATAACCGTAGCGCCAAGATAATGGACATGTAGTTCGCAAAAGGTGCTTTTAAAAGGTGCTTTGAATAAGAGGCCAATAAAACTCTATGACGTCATACAAAACATGCATCAACTAATAGTTATTCAGAAATAATGCTCTAAAATTCTTTTTGACTTCCCAGTAGACTTCACTCGGTAGATTTAAACCCACACAATTATATTACAGTTCATTGTCAGCGTTAAAAGGTACCACCGTTGATATGTTAAAATGAGGTACTTCCTGAATACATAAACATTCTATAGGCTCAAAATATTGCATAGTGCGAGCATGAATATCAAAAATTAAAAAACTATAAAATTAAATGGAAAAATGGAATTATTTACAATTCCATATTCTAGTTCAATAAAATTTAATTCCGATTAAAAGATACAATCTACTAATACAAATAATTTCTTAGTGATAATTCATGTTTTTTCAAGATATTTAAATATATTCTGATGATTTCTTATGGTTGCGGGCTTCATATTAGTTGCATTTATTACTATATGCTACTTACAATACCGGATATTTTAATTATAAACTTCATTTATTTCATCAGTTCCGTTGACAATTTGTTCTCCATGACCTTGTCTCTGCCTCATTGTTACAACAAACGTATGATCAGGGTAGTCCACTTGCACGTCGAAAGAATTGAGGTTAGATGCAGATGCGACAATTGTTACTCTAGATTGCACTTGTTGTAAACTCTTATACTGGCGTTTCCTTCGGAGTTGACGTTTATGATGAGCGGCGAGGGCTTTGTTTACATTGCCATCGGTGAAGTGTCTATATTTTGTTTCATGATCAGATTCCCTTTTAGTAACCTGAGGATCAGGTATCGGGGACTGAATTCCGATTGGAACATGCGCATGATTGTATTGCCTGCCGCTAATATCTTCCATAGAATTGAAAAACTCTGCAACATCAGATATAAAAGAGTCGCACATCTCGTTGGAAATATGATGTACACAATTTCTTTAAAAAAAAATTAATAAAAATGTAAACCTACTTAAAATTTGTTGACAGTTAATGCAAAGCAATCTTAGTTTATGTAGAAAAAAAAACAAAATTTCAAATTTCTTACCGCGCTATCTAATATAATATAAGGATATAAAATACGGCGATGAAAATGTTTGCGTATGTTGAAAATACAGACTGGAAAAAATTGGTGTCTTCAGACTTAATAAGGATAATCAAATTAAATTTTCTTTAAGAATAATATTTAAATGAAGTTTTACTTTGTTTATATTGTTTTACTGGAATGTCCAAAATTCTCAAATCAAATTTACAATAGATGTATTTATATTACGCGATGAAATAGCCAAACGCGAAAATCGCAAAACATGCGTAAGTGATTATATGGACGCCCTCTGAAACAGATTTGTTGTGGAATTTGTACAAGTACAAATTATTAATTTGTCACTACAAAAATGTGGCAGCATAATATATGATATTCATCTCCAAGCGATCAAAATAAATCAAGACGAGCTTAACCACAGCCTTCGTTGCTCATTGAGGGGGAAGTGCTGTAGCGAACACATTGGGGCTATAACTGTCATTTATAAATTGTTGCGTTCGCATGAACATCTGTTGCCAAAAGGCAAACAGCAAAAAGAAACACCTAACTTAACGTTTTTGTAATTGTATTATCATTATTGTTCTGTTAATTGAGAAATAAAGAAGTTAAACCAAAACACTTGTTGTTTATAAAAGTGCTTTGTATTATTTTACTTGATATTATATATGTAGTATAATAAAACAGCAGTAACTATAGCATTAACCATCGCAACGCCATCTGGCGTGATGTAAGAACCAAAGTACAAACAGCAACTAACTTAATGATCTAACGTTCATTATTAAAGCACGCGAAACTAATTTTTCAGATATGCCACACAATAAACTAAAACATTTATTTAATAATTTTTTTATTTACATCCGTAATGTTTTTACTTATTTTTCACCTTTTCACACAATAATAAAATAGAACAGTTAAGCTGAGTGCTTACGGCACAACTAATTCGGTCTAAAGAAACAAATTTAATCTAAAAATCGAAAAGATTGTACGCCATAAAAATACCTCAAGTCTACAACACATGTGGGGATTTACGACCATTTTCTCGCCTGCTTAACATACCTTTACGTTTCTCTTAATTTATATTGTATTGGAATGAATAGCCTAAGAAAATGATTCCAGCACTTTAGATATAAGCTGATTTTTATTTCTATTAGATATAAGCTGATAAGCTGATTTCTAATGGCAGAACGAATTAAGCCTTCACAACGAAACAGAATTTGCGTTTTAGACTTACATAAACACCCTTAATATTACTTAAATACAGTTTTATCTTAATAAAGACAGTTTAATATAACTTAAAGTTAAATAGCTCGCATTTAAATCTCTCGATTTTTTATTTATAAAACTTATATTGTACTAAAATTCAAACAAAAAGTTTCTTAAATTTTACTGTTTTCTGTTTCCACACCTAAAATTTAGAAACAAAATAGTTGTAATAAAGCCAACAACAGCTAAATTCATATACAGCTTATAATCTAATTCTTACACTTTTCAGCTTTAAGGAAAAGCGTATGATTTTATAAGTAGTGTTAACAATTATTGGGAATAGGAATGTATACCCTTACTGAAGATGCAATGAAACTCTGTAAAATAGGTTCTACACTACACTTCATCGAAGCAACAGGGCTTACAGACTTACTCTAAGCTCAGAAACGGGCACAATAGACCTGACGATCGCAGTGCCATATCCCATATTAATAATACTCGTAATAACAATTATTATAAGAAAATATTATAATAAATTAATATTTTTACAACTTCTATGAATTTCTTGCTTGGTGGAAAATTGTAAGTGGATCTATCTATCTCCTTTCACTGTTCCTATAATTATCTCAGAAAGCTCTAACTGTCGAGCCAAAGTCGGCATAAAATACAACTGGCGTAGTTCCTATAAGATATTAATTTGTTAACCATCCTTAAATTAACTGAAGTTTTATTTTAAACATAAGATTTATTCAATATTTGCCACGCATTTTAAGGAGCTACGAGATAAGAATAAAATCTAAAATAAAAACATCTATTTCATGACTATCCGCGACAATTTGTAGAGGATAAATTAAGCTTGTCTTATCTGTTTTGACTATAAATAAACGTAATCTCTTACATAAATTAAAAAAGAAAATAATGCACTTTTATAGGCAGTAACTCCTTATCCACATTAAGTTTCATTTTTGTTTTTCTTAAAAAACAACTCTTTGAAGACCGATCAGTTTATTAAAAATTGTAAAAGTATTGCTTGGCGTACGAAAGTGACCACCTAGGTTAACTAGAATGACTAAGTACCTAGATTTAAGAACTGTGTGACTGGCCTTAATGTGCACTATTTTTCTATAAAATAATGTATATAATCTTTTATATAAATAATCTCAGTATACATTAGATACAAAATAAAAATTAATATAAAAATTAGAAGAATTCGAATAGAAATGAAAATACAACAAATTTTTAGTTAATTTTATTTAAATTTGGCTAACCATACAACGCTGTTGGGAGTAACGCCAAGTAAGGCAACAGCGTTGTATGGTCAACCAAATTTCAATTTGGGTCATTATTACTTAATGACGCAAAATGTATACTGCGATTCATAAAGACATCTATGGAATATTGGATACGTCTTGCCACTAGCTAAAACACTGGGCACAACATCTTCGGAATTAAAATCAATAAAGTTTTGGTTAATATCAGTTCTAACAAAATATATTTAAAAGAGTTTAACTCAAGAATAAGAAACATATTTACAAATTTCTTTATTTTCATTTTGTTTATCATTATTACTAGAATCACTTGAATTATGATTTGAGGAACCAAATTTTTCTGTTTTTCATGCTTTCTTTTTTATTTCTTATTTATTTCTGTTATAAGATGTTGCACTTGATGCTGTTGTTGTTTGAAGCACCGGTGATTGTGATGAATCATTTGTAAAAATCAAATCAACATTGGACTCATTTTGTATTGTATTTTTTGTCATCCAAACAGATTGAGATTTCTATTCAGAAGTAGTTTCAATCAACTCTTCTCTTAAATTTGTTTTAACTCCTGTTTCTTTAACAGTAAACCCTTGGTTACGAGTAGCTTCACCGAACCATTGCTGGCTATCGATTTGCTGAGAAGATTTCGTAACGCTGAAAGTATTTATTGTTATAAATAAACTCTTTAAATAATGTTATAATAATTACTCTCGTATCGTATTTATATCCACAGGTTCTGGTTCCAAAATTTCCGGGGCTAATTTAATATTCTCTACTGCTCGAAGTAATTCGTACAATGGCTCTAGTTGATCGTTAAACCTTGCCAACTTTAGTCTTGAATCCTTTTTTGGCATGGCTGAGTTGTCCTCTTCCACAGGATCACCACAATATGTACAGCGAAATTCTTGAGATTCCAAATCAAATAGTTGATCTGCTTCTAGATCGGTGAACGTTTTACCGCAAGATGAGCATTTGAAACTAGCCCTACCTGTAGCATCACGCTCCTGTGTTTCCATACGTTTACGCATAATATACAGTTTATATTTTACAACATTGACAAAACTTTTATAATTTATGAAGTAATAATTTACTTTGTGAGCTTTTCCATCTGGGCCGGTTTCCACCTTTAAGCGTTTTTGTATAAATTTGTCATTTAGCAAGATATATATTCGAGAAAGTAATTGCTTTTTGTCAAAGTGCAGTAACTCTGCTATATCGTCTTCCTTCATGCAATGATTTCGAAGTAACATATCAATTATAAATGTATCTTCTTTGGAATAAAAACCTTGAACAACGAGCAGTGCTAATTGTTTTAAAGAGCTTGGCACGTCCGTCTCATATTTTATTTCCGTTGTTGCCATTTTGTTAATATTTTATTTTATATACGGACTTAACCCAAAACTTTTAACACTGTGGCTTTCTATTTATGTTCACCATAAAATCCAACAAATCATTTATGTTAACGTTTAATTTATTTAATTTACACTTATTAGTCTATTAATAATCTTATTGCGCTATTTAAATAAAAAGCTATAACTTAAGCAAGCATGACGCTCTGACATACGTCTTTGAGTGAAACAAAGCATCAACTTTGACAAGTGGTGCTGGCAAGGCGTATATTTTATCCAGTGTTGGTATATTGTAAAATTATTCTCCGTTTGTCCTATTTTTCTAAAAGTGTTGGCATTAATATGTGTGGTGTTTAGCTTGCTAAAAACCATTTCATAATCATTTTTGAAAAACTACATCGCTTTCAAGCAATTCGTAAACAACTTAATATTAATTCTTAAGTGACCCGTTCTTAATAAAAAACAATGCTTTAGGTTATTTTTAATATTTGGCCAAACGTAGTTATTCGTCTGAATTTGGGTTACTTGACATAAACGTAGGAGAAATCTTATATCACTTGAAGTATTTGGTGATCCAATTGAACATGTATTGTTTGTGGTATTATGCTGTTTTGCCTTCTGAGTACTCTGTCATAATTAATTATTTTTTCTACGTTCTGCTGTCTACTTTTTTTACGTTCGATACTGTTTAGCCTTAGTTTAACATTTCGATTAGTTTAGTATAAAAACTAATTTGACACAAAATAATATTTGCAGTTTCACCATTAAGTTTAAAGTTAAACTTACCTGGTGAATACACCAGCTAAATTCGAAGGATTTGGAAAGATTTGGAAAGGTATTTTTTTTGTTGCTTTTTTTTCAAAAGGTGGAGAGCATCGAAAACATTGTGAGCTTTAAATTCACTAAAACCATATCTTAAAAATGTAAAATAAACATATTTCAGTATTGATCCGTATAAGTCAAATGGTGCACACTCATTCCAGTAATTCAGGAATAGTAGGCAATATAATATAGAATGCTTAGCATTTAGACAATAAATATATCTAAACCAAAATTGAAATGAATAGAAGAAAGGAGGCTGTTCTTGCTAGGTAGAGTAAACTGTGCAAAGGGTTATTGTAACCACGATTATAGAATAAGAGAGAAGTAAACTATAAATGGATACGACTAAGGAGGCTTGTATCTCATATTAGAAAGCTGGTCGATGAGAAATTGAAGAATATCAGGGGAAAGATTATAACGTCTAGTAGGATCTCTTGGTTACATTTTAAATTTCGTTTGCGGTAAATACATCAAATTGAAATAAATTAACTGTATGTTGTTGAAGCTATTTGAGCCAGTGCACTTGAGCACTTTTACTCTATTACCTAAGAGATTGCTTCATAACATCTTTCTACGCCTTTACTGGATTATTGTTTATCACTTTATCTGACTAAGCAATAATTGACATCAGATCTGCATACATCCCCGTGGAACCTGTAACCACTCTGAGAGTCGATAACGCGGTGTTGGTAAGTCTGTCAGTTTTCGTAAATAGTTACAGGGCTCTATCCTTTATGTATTTTTTCATCGGATCAATCTTGAGGTCCCTGAGGATGTTATTTGTTCTAATATACCATAGTACCTTGAAAAGTCTGCTCAGAGAATGGCTTTGTGCAATTTCTAGCTGGTAAATAGTAGTGTTTGAGGCTTTGCTAAACGCTACACATCCATATAGAAGTGACGGACGAATTAATTGGTTATATATCAGTTTCCTGTTCTTAGCATTTTATTTCTATTATTTTACAAGATACTAAGTTATTAAAGAGATAAATTAATATAAGTGTTTCACTGTTCAAAAAAAGTTTTAAAAAGGTTAAGCATAATATATCCAAATAAAATGTTTCCATTAATTATTATTTCGATTTTCTAAATATACTAATAATAATTCAAACAGACATTCTTAAAAGGTTTTATTAACTTTACAACTATAAAAGTTAATACAACATGATGAATTTTAATTGGAGTACTATACCTACATGAACTACTGCTAGAGTTAAAAATAATGCTTTATCGCTGCATAGTTTTTCTGATGACACAGTGAGCTAGAACTAAAGCTAACGAAAACAATGGGGTATCGAAGTAAGGTTCACTATAAAATCAACACAAACTACCATTGAATCAATAGATAAGATTTAATTTCTAACTAGTAAACAACGTCATTGTACCATTCACCAGGAAATACAAACTCGACTATTTAAAAGTTATCATTCTGAATACGATGGAGTTGGAATAACAGAAAGTACCAAATCTGTTAATAATAAAATTTGACCAAAAATTATTGTATAAAACTCATATTTAGGTACTGGCACAAAAGGTTTTTTTATGACACGAAGATCTATCTACTGAAGGGTTACGATTTGTCATCATATTTGCTGCGGTCAAATGAAGAGAACATATAAGGAAGAATGTGTAATTATTTTGAGAATTATCCAAATTTGTCCGATGGTAGTCGTTGAGTTCATTTTAAAACTCAGACTTTTTAACATTCATATTCAATCTCAAGCGATAAGACCCAGTTTAAGATGGACTATATACAGCACAGTTGTCTTGTTCGCAAGAGTATGATATTCTGCAAAAGCAACTTCCTGAAATATCAGTGCCCGCGATATCATGCATTCGAAATTCTGTTTTATGGAAATATTCCAAACTGAACTTAGCAATAAATAAATCAAAACATGACAGCATGGTGTGTTGCCGTTGGTGAACTGTGGCTAAAGGGCCCATTAGACAGCAACGTTCGTTGTCAACGCGCGCTTGCCATTACACAAACAATTTTTTTAAAATTTTTTAAACACGCCCCAGATAAAACAACAAATATACTAAAAAATTGCTCTCACATGAGAATTTTTTCTCCTACTTTTCTCCTACTTTGTGAAATGCGAAATTTGTTTGTGTAATAGTAACATTTGAAATTTTAAGAAATGCGTTGACGAAAATCAAAAAATTTTGATATTTCTTCAACCACGCTCGTGTTTTTGCATATACAGTCGGATTTCGTCGGCATGCAAAATTTAATTTATTTTGAAAAGTAGAAGCGTAAACATTGTTTAAATGCACGCATGATTTGTCGTTAGCATGCGATCCTTTGCAAATATGAATGAATTGTATCTTTTATTTTAAATATTTGTATTTTCTACCTAGGTAAAATTTTTTAATTTCCAAAACATTTTATTAAGAAGAATTAAAATATTAATAACCTTGGGCTAAAAAAAAATAACCAAACATTAAATTATAATAAAAATTTTGTTTTAAATATTAATTGCATTGTGCACCTACGGAAAATTTGTTATTAAAATGTACCAAAAAAAAAAATTAAATTACATAAAATATAATATATATAAAAATAAATATATAAATTGAAATCATAAAAATGAATATAAATATATAAATCAAAATTATAAATTAAATGTAAAACATTATTTTTCGTAACGAAATGACGCATAGCAGCCGCTGTTGACACTTCAGCGATTGCTTTAATACTGATCACTGAACAATGTTTGCATTGTTTGCTGGAGGCGTGTTTAAAAAATTGTTGGTAAATTTAATGTGTAATGGAGAGAGAAGACTTCGTGTGTTTGTCAACGCGCGTTGATGTCTAAGGGCCACTTAACACACTCCATTTTTGAAATAGGAACTTATTCGACAAATAAATATATTCATTGCAATATTGAATGTAGGTAGATATCTATTAAAGCCACTGAGTAACTATCTTAAATTATATCTAGGCAGCAATCGATGCACTTAACTTCTACCTATAAGGTGATTTTAAAACTGCTGTTGAGTATCTTATTCATCTGAATATCTTTGGTCAAATTTATAAAGTATAAGTTTCATGGATTTTAGCTCAAGTTGCATTTTCCTATAACAAAGTTGCAGAAATAAAATAAGTTTGATTTATTCTGTGGCTTAGGAGGAGATAATTTTGTTTATTTATTTACAAAAAATCGTGTATAAGAGCTTTTGATCTAAATCAATCATTCTGAATCATTTTATGTAACTAAATAAATATCGATGTTTAAAGTTTTTTTTTACAAAAAGAAAAAAAGCATTTGCTTAATCGAAATTTACTTTTAAACAAAATTTAAAGAAAAACGTACTTTAATAGTTAGTTTCAAGATATGACTAGAAATGCAAAATTGGTTTCAAATTAATATCAATTTCGATGCGCCCCACTATAAACAAACTTATAGTAATTTAGATATAAAATATAATCGAGTAGTACCTTAAAAGTTTTGATTATATCTAAATTTATCGTAGTACTGAAATATAATACCAAAAAACTTAATTAATTGCTGAAACCTAATTATACCTGCTTTGCAAATGTGCAGATTTAATGTTTTTGAAATAAATAAATAAATCTTATTATTCATAAATTTTTAAATTTCAAAATATCGAGTATTTAATCTTTAGGATATTAAAAGCGTAATACTTTTGTTGTCAGCTTTACGATTATTTAGAGAATTGTTGTAAATTCAACAGTATTGTGAAGATACTAAGTTTACTATAATAGTTCGGATTAATCGCTTTTGTATTTTCACTAAAATAATTCCAGTGATTGTCAGTGGAAAGGTATTTGGTGCAAAAATAAAAATTATGTTATAAAAAGTGAAACCAGACAACTTGAAAAGGATTTGTTACAGTGTGACATGTACACACCTTGTAATGCTTTTACTGAAAAATATTTATATATTTGTAGGAATTTTTTTATTATTTATTAATTCTATTGTAGCGCATTTAAGCCAACATAAGTATTTCAGCTATGTTATATATTTTTGATAATTTTCAAACAATCACATTAAGTATGAATCGATATGAACAAGGATTTACTGAACTGGAAACTGTCATTTAAATATCGAATTTCAAAGAGAACCTATGTCGTTTTGTTCAATTTAAACATTTAAAATAATAACGGGTTGATATGAAAACTAATTCATTTAAGTAGGACAACAATTTTATAGTTCAAATAGAACAACAATTGAGTAAACATTCCTTATGTTGGTTTAAAAATAAAAAATAAAAAAATAAAAGCATATACATTTGTGCATGGAGCTCTCTTTCTAAAAACAAAAGCCAATCTGAAACGAGAAAAACGCTATAAAATCATTTGCAATCTATTTCGAACAGCCTTGCAAAATAACATAAGGTAAAAAAATCGGCACCAAATATGATCGACTTGAGAAAGTCTAATTAAATATTGCATTCCCCTCGACGCAGTATGCATCTATTGTGTAAAATGTGTTTAGAGATCTATCGTGAAAAATACATACAAAATTGGAAGATGT